ATTTTTTTTATTTTTATATACAAGATATTTTATTAAAAGGAAATGTTTTTTTTTTTTTTATTCAGTGATGGATTTTTTGATATTCATACCTTCAGTTAATCAGCTGCTGTGTATTTGAAGCTGATCTGCATTGGCTGGCTAATTGGCTGACAGTCATGCGTTGGCTGCTGTTGTCTGGACGTCCTGCTCTCGCTGATCTCTCATTGTCTCGGCTCGTCTGGGATGTTTTACCCAGAGTTTGCTTTTTAAAATTGTTTTTCATATTGACCTCGTGAGTGTAAATATCGTCTGCTTTGCAGTATGGATTTTCCATGTCAAGCCATTTGTAGGTTTGTGCAGAATATGTGAAGCTCCTGTTCAAGTGTAAATTGGAATTATGACTGGCATTGTACATCATTTACAAAATAAATCATCAGCGCTGATTCAATCTGAGCTTTGAACATCTGCTCTCTCAATGAATGATTGGAAAGAAAGGTACAATCACTTCACACACAAAACCTGACAAAAAGAACTTTACAATAAGCTTTATCTACCTTAGTTAACATGAACTAACAATGATAAAAATACTTCTAATGCATATTAATCTTAGTTCTTTTCAACATTTAATACATTAAAACAATGAACAGTTGTATTTTTATTAACATGAACAAAGAGTGCTACTATATAGAATGAATATGTAATAATAATGAATAGAAAAACGTGTTTAATAATTATATTATATGCATATGCATGCTTTGTTATGGTTAATATTGCATTTTTAAGCTGAAAACTAATAAACATTTAACTAGAAATTAAATGTTTAATTTTATATTTTTATAATATACAATTTTATTATATGTGTGTGTGTGTATATATATATATATATATAAATAATAAAATGGTATATTATAAAAATTATATATATATATGTATAGCAGATGCTTTTAATCCATAGCAACTTGCAAAAGAGGAGCAAAAAATAAAAAGTGCAAACAATATTTGTCATATATAATGGCAGGTTTATTAACTAGATTAGAAAACATGCTGGAAACGCATACATTTTGCAAAGTGTTAATGGTAGCTATAAAATCTAAGAAAAACAAAAAACCCCAGCTGATTCAAACATGTTGAGACTTCAAACATGAGAAAAGTGTGAAGAGAAAAGATCCTGATGAATCACATTCACACGTTTATAAGAGTCCAGACACTTTCTGGGGTTTATATTTGATAAATATGTGCTGATGTCTCATGATCAGTTCAGGTTCTCTGCTTGTTTTCTTTAATAAGAGGCGGTTTTTGCTGAAATGAACATGAAAGAATCCCGAAATGAACTGGGACTGTGTTCTTCTGCTCTTGAGGGCCGTGAACTCCACGCACTTCATGTTCACTTCACGCAATCCAACATTTCTTCACTTTTATGTCCCATTGTTCGACAAGATTGAAAAATCTCGAGGAGCACGGAGTTGTTTTGGACGTGAACTGGTCCGAATGAAAGCGCTGTGATTGGAAACAGTTCTGTCTGGAAACGACACAACGCTATCAGATGTCTGTGAGACGCAGCGTTTGTCTGAATGCCATTGTTTTCAAACGCTTTTAATAAATGTAGTGCTGTGTGGAGGGCACAGAAACCATTGTTTTTCTGGTTCAGTGCGATATGAATATTTCCAGCCATCATTACCTCTAGAAAGAGCTTCAAAGCATCTGCTGGTATGAATGCCATTGTTTTCAAACGCTTTTAATAAATGTAGTGCTGTGCTGTGTGGAGGGCACAGAAACCATTGTTTTTCTGGTTCAGTGCGATATGAATATTTCCAGCCATCATTACCTCTAGAAAGAGCTTCAAAGCATCTGCTGGTATTTACATGTTCTGCTGTTGCTTTGAGTTTAAACTCATTAGTTGAAGCATCCTATAAGAATCCCTTTAAAAGCGTAGCTGACAATGTCTTTTTTAATAAAACAAAATTGCAAAAGAGCTTCACAGTCATGGATCAGCCTTCATTTTCATTATAAGGAAAAGAGCAGATTTCCTCATTTGTAAAAGTGTCTATAAATGACAGACAAAAAGGAAGACAAACATTTTCAAGATGATTACAGGCTAGAGCAGTGAAGGAATATCTGAATCTGAAAGTGCTCTTGACCACATGATCAGCTGAACAAATGCATTTTGACACCAGATGTTTAAATGCATGTATAATATTCAATTCCTAAATTCTTATGTATATTTTTGGACATGTGCTGCCAAGTAGACACCTTTCAAAACTCATCTTAAATACATTTTGTTTCATAATGCTATATTTCAATGAGTTTGCAACACTGATAACAAAACATAAAAAATTACAAATACATTTTTACAAATTATGTAAAAAAAAAAATTACACACACACATATATATATATAGGGGTACAACATGGTTAAATGCGGGTGTAGCTCTGAAATAAGCAGGATTTTACCCCATGTCACATTGCATATAAAAAACAGGCACTGCTAGACTGTCATGTTTCTTAGTCATATAAACCATCAAAGACCAACATTCAAAAACAAGAACAAAACAAGCATCAGAAATGCACAAATGAGGCCATAAGCGCATGTTTGCCAGAATGAGCTACTCTGAATCGGACGTTTCCTTCTCGAGCTGGAAAAGAAAGAAAGTGAACGAAGATGAACAAATACTCTCTTTTGTTTAGAAAGCTCTTTTTTATGACCAAGTCTGGCTCCAAGAGTCCAAAATCAAATCCAAAACATCTTCCATAATCACATCTATAGCTATACGAGTCTTGTGAGTCTAAACTTAAACATATTGCATATGGCAACATTGAAAGCTGATGCGTTTAAATTGCAATACCATATTTTATAGTATCACTGTACTGCATTGTTGGCGTAATTCTTCAAACATTGTATTTGGATTCTTTGACTAGAGAGACGGATCTGTTGAAAGCGTCTCAGTGAAAGTCAGGATAGCTGGTTCATCTGTACGATGGCCGTGTTTGGTTTGGACGCCGCTGAATAGCATTGTATGATGTGTAGGAAATAAAAAATGCAGGGCTGTAATTTACAGGAGAGTGAGATGGATTTAAAGGCTCGTTTTGCTGCTCTACTTCCAAACGTCCAAATATGTCACAGCTGAATGAGAACTGGGCTTTTTCAGGGCCGGCTCTGCCAGCTCCCCTCTGTGCAGAAACAGCGTTCATCACATCCAAACACCCCAGACGCCCTGCATCAGATTCTGCATGTGTACACTTACAGTCTGATTCAGTGGGTTTGATGAAAGTGAGGTGTGAAATACTTCGATGAAGATTTGCTCAATGTAATGCTCAAATACTTCAGCGCATCCTTCATGTCCAATATTGGTATTACAACATGACATACTAAGTTAATTTATGGGAAAAAAAATTAGATAAAAAGTTGATATTATGACAAATTTGTTTTGACATACAAAGTTGTAATTATGAGATAAAAAAATCATAATTATTAGGAAAAAGTCAAAATTATGACATTGGAATTATGAGAAACTAAGTCAATTATGACAAAAACATTTTTGTATCAATTTTGAATCTTTGTCAATTGACATTTACTGTCATAATTTCAACTTTTTAACTGATGATTTCAACGGACTTCAACTAATTTATCTCATAATTATGACTTGGCTATCTCATAATTTTTACTTAATGTGTCATAATTAGAATTTTTATGTGGTGGAAATGGGTTTCCATAAACAAACAAACAATAATAATATATTATCTTATGAATTTTATATATTTATATATTATGTTTTGGTAAATCATAATTATTAGTCAAAGTCAAAATTATGGCAAAAAAAATAAGCCATAAAATATATAAAAAGACATTATTATGGCTTAAACCATCATACATATGACAAAAAAATCAAAATTGTTACAAAAATAATTATGAGATACAAAGTCATAATTATAAGATAAAAAGTCAAAATTTTGAGTTGAAATCGTGACAAAAACAACTATAAGATTCAAAGATGAAATTATGAGGTAAAAAGTCATTATAAGACAGAAGTCAAAATTATAAGTCATATTTGACAAAACGTAGAAATTATGATAATAATTATGAGATACAAAGATGAAATTATGAGATAAAAAGGCAATTATGAGACAGACAAGTCAAAATGATAATCATACTTGACATAAGTCAAAATTCTAACATAAAATGTTATGACGTAATTTGTCATGAGATAAAAAGTCAATTATGAGATAAAATTCAACAATTATGATAAAAAGTCAAAATTACAGCAAAATGTCAAAATTATGAGATATATGGCAAAATGAGGTACTATATCAATATTACAATTATGACCTAAAAAGTAATAATTATGACATTCAACTTTTCATTTCATGATTTCAACTTTATATGTAATAATTATGAAGCATGTCAGTTCTGATAAATAAAATAATTTTATTTCATAATTATGACTTAGGAAATGGGCTTCCATAAATAAACAAATCATCAAACAAATCTTATATATATATATATATATATATATGTATATATAAGTGCTGTCAAATGATTAATCGTGATTAATCGCATCCAAAATAAAAGTTTTTGTTTACATTATATATATGTGTGTACTGTATATATTTATTATGTATATATAAAGACACACATACAGCATATATTTAGAAAATATTTACATGTATATATTTATATTCATATTAATTATATCACATATAAATATATTTCATATATAAACGTAACATATTTTTCTTAAATATATACGTGCATGTGTGTGTATTTATGTATACATAATAAATATACACAGTACACACATATTATGTAAACAAAAACGTATTATGGATGCGATTAATCGCGATTAATCGTTTGACAGCACTAATATACATATAAACTTATGCATATCAAATGGATACTATGTCAAATATCTGGATGTGTCAGCTCATGTCACTCTCAGCAGCAGGCCGTGGGTTTTATTCATGTTCTGAACACATTCATCCCCCCACAGGCCACTCACACACAGTCATCTAACGACCAGCACGTGGCTGTGAAGTGTGTGTCTGTGAAATGAACTCCGAAAACCCCGGTGTGCTGCTCTGCAGAGGCAGACTGACCTGTCTGTGGCGTATCTGTGACAGCGAGGGTCAGCGTCTCTCATTTGTAGTCTCTGTGGTCTGAGGAACCAGTCCAGAATGATGGGTTCAGTTACGGCCAGACCTCTCCTGACCGCTAGAATGAGAGCCGACTGTTATCATCAGCAGAGACTGAAACCTACAGTCACTCAATAGTTAAACTAGGTTTTTTTTTTTGCATTTTGCCTAAGTAACATTTTCTAAGTTTGAACACATGGAAAACTAATATTACATCTCCTATTACTTTGAGGAATCATGCACAAACAGAAAAGTATAAAAACTAAAAATTATGAACTATATGCATCAATATATCACCATGCACTCATAAAGCAGCATGAAGTTGAGCTCAGCAGATTGTCCAGTAGGTGGCGCTCTTGTCCTGGTCATGACATCTGGACGCTGTCCTTCATTGCATGCGGTAACTGGGTTCAGCCAAGCTCTTAAACTTTATCTGTGTGTAAAATATCTCATGAAAATATTATTTCACAGTGTCAGCAATGTATTACGTGAATTCTGAACAAAAGAAGACCGATGGGCAGCGCTTCAACAGGCACACAGTGTTTTATGAGTATTAATTAAACTTTCAACAAGCAGTTTAGCTGCTCTCGAAGACAAAGTCTGAAGGTTTTCCAAGTCAACTGTGCTGCTGGGTTGATTTTGTTCTCATAAACACAAATGAAAGTGACTGCACTACTAGACGGTTATCACTCAAATAAGAAGTCAAACAAATGACCGCTGCTGTCTTTTAGGTGACTTAAAGATCAGTTAACTGCTTGAGCATGATTTAATGTTTAAGGTATCATTTAATCATACAGTATTCCTTGAACAACACTTTCATAATAAACCGGCAGTCCAGTAAAATGTTTTAATTTACATCTGGAACCTGTATAGACAGTCATCTTAATTTTATACAAATAAAAAAATAAATAATATATTTAAAAAATAATAATACATAATGAATAACGGTCCAGATGTACACTAATACAATACTTTTAATCTTAATCTTTTATACTTAAATCACTTTGGAGTGGATAAGAACATTTTAGAAATTGTATATATAACGTGTGAGTATTATTATTATTGTTGTTTATATATGAATTTACCAATTATTAATGCAACCATTATTAGATATAGAAATATAAATTATTGTATTTATAATTTTTTTATATTTTAATTAATAATAGCTTTATTATTATACTAAAATATAAAACAGAAAAATATTATTATAACATAAGATAATGTAATAATAAAATAATATTTTTAATACATATAATCCTAATTTATTATACTTAAATCACTTTGAAGTGGATAAGAACATTTTAGAAATGTAATTTCTGGGTGTGTGTGTGCATTGAAATAATATTTAAAATAATAAATATTAGATATAAATATATATTATTGTAATCATAATTTCTTTTTATATTTTTTATTAAGTGAATAATTTATGAATTACATATATTTTCCGTAATTTTTGTAATGCATGCATTGTTTTTATTGCTTTATTGTTTTTTTTTCCCATACCTGTATTTCTGTGTGTCATTTATAAGACATATTCACTGCAGTGAAGCCAAATACAATTGTCTACATTGTGGACAACAGTTCCTAGATTAAATAAACACAACTATAGGCACTACATGAATTTTGAAGGAATACAAAGTCAGTCAAAGTTAAAAATCAGCACATTCAGAAACGCTGGACTGGTTAACTGACCCGGAGGACCACCAGAGCATACAAACAAGCAGTAATCAGCATTCTGATACAAGCAGCCGCAAGCCAGCACCGGCAGTGAAAGCACAGTCCAAGCCTCAACACAGCTGTAAAATAAACTTAATACTACTTAATGGAAGTGTTAGCCTCAAAATGACATTCCCCATTTCGGGAATAACATAGTCGGTGCGGAGGAAGGCCGTTGATCTGTGTGGTCTCCTTACAGGGCAACGTTTGGGTTAGTCGAGAGGGTCTGAGGCGAATGCTGGTGGTCACACACACACACACAGTTTTCCTTGAGCTGTGCTTCCAGGAGCGGAAAAGCGTCTGCATAGAGACGCACAGATTTGCGTCTGTCTGTACGGCGTCCTCCTCTGCCAGCACTGGCAGATTTACCAGGTTTAATGGTGCAAATCACCTCCATCACACTCCCCTGATTTGAATATCTGAAAATAATGTCTGCGTTGTAATGGATCTTCAATATGTTCACACTATTTTATGGCGGCGTTTGGAAGGCGTGTGTGTTTTTTTGCGAGAAGTGTCTTGATGTATAGGTAGATGAAATGTATACAACTCATTCACGGGACATGTGGACTCCGAGATGTAAAAAGCACGCTGGCTTCGAATGTAAACATGTGAAAACATATATTTGTTCTGATATGAAATATGCTGAGTCTACATGGCTTGAACTCTCATTGTGGGTATTTAAGAAAACAGCGTCTTAAAAGACTCTCTCTGTGTTTCTGCTGAAGTCATCAGCGCTGGGAAAGCACGAGTTTCTCTTGCCATTAATAATTACTGAGATGTAGATCTAATAGAGTTTATCTGCAATCACTATAACTGCATTAAACAGGAAAAATGTCAAAGGCCAAAGCGTGTCCCTAACACATGAGCTTTTCACACTTGATATGGCCTTTTAGCTTTAAGCTCATCTGTATGATAGCATAATCATTGACAAATCTCACTTTTTGCTGATATTCACATTTAAAATGAATAAAATCTTTCTGATCCGGGAATACAAACTTAACAGACATTGTTGGTTGGTTGAAGAATACCAATAATATTGAATAGGCTATTCATATTCCAAGTCTATACATATATAAA